CGGAGTGGTCGCCGAAGAAGTCGTCGGAATTGGAGACGTCGCCGGAGCGGTCGCCGGCGTGGTGGGGTGGTGGGGGTGGTGGTGGATTGATTTTATACATATATATATATATATTTTATACATTTTTTTATATATTTATATGTATAAATAAATATTTATATAAATGTGTATGTGTAAGTCAAAATTTCTGATTTTTGAAATGTAAAAGTTGTTTTGTTATTTTTGAAATAGGGTAAAGATAAAGTAGGGAAAGTGAATTTTTCCTTTAAAATTAACCTAACCAAACCAATTTTTTGGTTCAAACCAATCCAAACCGACCCGACTGGATTTGGTTCGGGTAGTTTGATCGATTTTTCGATTTTTTTTCCCACCCCCTACAAACACCTTTTGCATCCACTCGATTTTATTATTTGCTCTTGTATTAGTCAGAAACCACGATGAAGGTTTCTAGTATTTCATATTTAAAACAAAATGAGTCATAAATATACGACAGAATAAGCATTATTTCCTAAACTTAAAGAAAGTGGAAAATTATCGAAAACCATGAGTTTTAAAATTTGATTATCACAAATACCTTAAGATTTTTTATTATTATTATTTTTTATTTTTTAACAAAAACCTTGAGTTTAATACTTGTAGGAATGTCCCTTGTTTACCCACTTGCAATCGTGCAAACAGATAGAGTTATATTATAACTACATTGATGACAACAACAATCCTTCGCACCGATGTTTAACATCAATCTAGGTGACAATACTTGTACCATTAAATTAGGTTCAATTGAATACAAAGATTTATAACTTATTTATTAGGACATGTTACATGCGGATATATAGATTGGTGTTCAGCACTACTGATATTAGATAACATTATCTAACATATATGGTTTCATCTTCATAAGGAAAGTTTGAGAAGGCAGGAGCCTTATGCTCATATGACAATTGACATGGACAATACACTGAATTTTGGAAGAGCAAGATTATGCAAATGAACACTTTGTCACCATTGAGAGCCACTACAACCTTATCCTCTACGAAATATCCAATCATGCCAACATCAAACAAAGTTCAAAACCCCCCATCTTTCTTCACACATCGAAGTCCATACACGAGTAAGCAAAAGGAGCAAGTGTACACGTGTGTTTGAGAGAGAGAGAGGGATCAATGGCCTCAACCGCATGCTTCTTGCACCACCATGCAGGCGCAGCACTCTCTACTCAAAATAGATCATCTTCTTCGTCTAACCGCTATCTCAAGCCTACATGGCTAATTTGCCGTGAGCAGAATCAGGCTGCACTTTCAGTAGAAGATGGCACAGACATCATGTCCCGAAGATTGGATCTTGCTGTTTGGGCAGCTACCATTGGATCCAAGGTTTCACCTGCTGACACTGCCTATGGAGAATCTGGTAATCACTAGATATCCCCAAGTCTGAGATTCTAATAGTTTTTAGACCTTTCCAACACTGAACCTCTTTCCCTTCCAGATCCCACATGCAGATGCTTTTATCAGTAACACCACAAGATATCCTTATACCATCCGGTGCCATGCACAAGAGACCAAACCGAGGCCACCTTTTTCATATACATGGAGGCATTCTCCAGATGCAGTTTCCCAATCCTCTTCTACTCCACGGCTAAGAAGTTGACGATCATCAGGGCTCCACGAAATATAGGAGACAGGTTTCTGGTGACCAGATAATCTATGCTTCAAGGAAATTCGCCCATCCACTTTTAACTAACAAAAGCAACAGAATCATGAGCAAGGGAGTCACTAAAAATGATGTCTAAACAGGAAAAGCCTTCAAGTAATAAACTCAAAACTCTTGGGTAACGAAGCAAAAAAATATAACACTTTAAGGTTGATCACTATATTGAAGAGGTAATTTAGACAAGGAATCAGAAGTAATTTAGAAATATTAATGGAATAAATTAAAAGAAGTTCCCAATGTCTGGAAATGAAATATCCAGTATGCAATAAGCAACATAAGCAAATTAAAGCTGGTAACATAAGTACTTGAAGGTCAAGACTGAGACTGATCAAAACACAACTTGGGTTAATTAATTAAACTATTTTATTTTTTTGTAAGGTTAAATAAATTTATACGTATGGCAGTGAACAAATTAAGCATTGTTCCAAACCATTCCTATCAGATAGAAGAGGTTTGGAAGTTATCTAGTGAAGCATCCAACGGCTTTAGGAATTTCAATCCACATACATACCTTTAAATTGTCATCCAAATATAATCTACATTCTTCAATGCCATATGATTAGGTATTCCTGTAGTAATCAAAATAATTTATTAACTATTATTCAGGATCTAAACCAAGAAACAAAGCCCTCTTTACAACCCAAAACCTACGTTCACTGCTATTTATGTAACTTCTATCATCTTCAAAATAATCCAATATAAACAATAATGTAATAGCTAGATCTCCCACGTTCATTCCTTTTCCTCAAGCTCACTGCAATAACTGAAATAAAGGTCCCATCACGCAAATCGCATGCCAAATCAAATATCTGACGCTAAAAAGATGAGTTAAATGAGATACATTTTACATTCCAAGAGCAAAGAGTCAAACAGATTTTTGTCAATTGTCAAATGTTCGAAAAACAAAAGATTACTGAAATCATCTACAAATATTTTGAAATATCAACTCTAAAGGTGAAAGATGGACTGGTTTTGACATAAATCTAGTCATTTATGTTGTAAGTTCTACAATTTGCCAAAAATGCTACCAAAGAAGTTTGAAATGTTCTTGAAGTGATGAACAACTTTGCAGGTATCCTCAGGCCTTTGAGCTGGAATAAATAACGTTCAATTGAACACTCCATATCAAGTTCTCTTTGGTTGTTATATTGATTATAATCAATGACAGGATGACTAGAACGGAAAATATTTAATTATGCTTTTTCTAAAACATGTATTTACATTTGCTATTCATGATATCATGATACATAGAAAAACAAGTTTAAGAACAAACTCAACAATACATCACATACATCACATTCTCCATCCAAGAACACCTACAGATAAATTGAAAATCCTTAAACTCCTTAGAGATAGAATCCCATAAAGAAGCCAAAAACTCCTCTCCCTCCAATATTTGGCAGCAGTTGTGCCTTTTATTAAAAAATTATAGAGTTCCTTTCTATCTAAAAGCCAGAAAAATAGCAAAAACCACAACTTCCCACATAGCACCCAACTTTCATGAGCCATAACAAATAGGTTTTTCAATATATATCCACTGCTTCTTTCAGGAAGAAAACCACTCTATATCAGCTTCTTTTAACATGCTGCACCGCCGCAACACTACTATGAAGGCTTTCTGCAGTCCACAGAAAGAAATAAATGGAGAAATTAGCTTTGAGCTTGAGCGAAATAGCAAGGACCATCCTCCATGAGAAACCAGATCCATTAAGGGATATAAGATTTTCAAACGAACTAAATGGTTGAGATAATGGTAAGCTCCACAAGTCAACCTTGCCAGGTCTTCCATTTGGTTCATCAAAGTGTCAAGACCCCGAAGAGAACGCTTGTTTTCTGTAAAATATTTTAAATAATACTTCACCATTAAGATCCACCATCACCGAATAGAATCAATCTCTAACCTGAGCACTTCTCTAACCAGTGTAGCAACCTCCACCAAAACCTGGAAACAACCTCTAACAATAAACCTAAAAGCTAAAATCAACCAAACTTCTGTCTGGCTGTGTAAACCAACCCTTTTATGATGGAACACTTAACAAAAAATCAGGTACAGCAATGGAAGAAAAACCTAACCGCGAAATTGATTTGGCTGTTTTCTACTGGAGCCTAGGGCGATGAAGGATTTGTTTCCTCTGGAGCTATTTAACTTTTACTTTTTTATTATCGGGTTTCTAGTATATATTGATTGTGGTTTCTGGTGTAAGCTGATTAGCGAATTGTTTCATGAGGGACTGATATAGTCATTTGGATAGAGATTTTCACATCAAACAGATTTTTTTAGCCTTTCAAATCATAGGAGGATCAGTTAGAAGTATAAAGAGAAAAGGACAAGCCAGATTGAATATGTGTTTGATATAGGCAGCTTACTAGTTTAGGAAAAGAGCAGCAGAATGCGAGATACCAATTTTAATAGATATGAGAGCAATAAGCGTCTAAGACTCTTTAGTTTTACCATCTGGCAGGGAACGATAAATCATCCTGTATGATTAAAGAAATATCTGGGGCAGGTAAAATATTGGAGACTTGTTGTAAACATCGACAAGTTTTGAGTAGATGGGAGCAAGCAGATAAAAATAACAGAAACTAATGAAAGGCACTTGATCAAGTGTTTTAGAAAACAGTTCTACTTTGAACAAATGATATAAATACTACACCAAGACCAAAATATTTCGAGCTATATGTCATGAAGTGTATGCGCAGAAATTGGTAAATAGCACTAAAAATTGAAAATCAGCATGGAAGTAAATTGTTAATGGCACGAGTAAAATTCATATACCAGCCAGTCATTGAAGGGAACCAGGGGAAATAAATGCAAGCATAAATTAATTATATGCACAGCTAAAAAGAAAATATTACCTCCCATATAATCCACTAGACAATCACTGGATGACGAGGCCAAGTAGTCTCCATTGTGAGAAAATTGCAAGAACCAGACTTCGTTACTGTGTTCTTGTAATATCTGGATTATGAAGTCAAGCATTCCCGTAGTCAAAAAAATGCATCAAAAGATGGATCAACGGTCAAAGTTCTAAATTAACAATGAATTACCCCAGGTTTCGTGAAAGAGTAGATATATTACAATTCCAGCGTTCGTGTTAAATAAAAACAGAAATCTATTATACCAGAAGATTTTGCTTTCAAGTAACTAGTAGACCATTGCATATTATCTGCTTTAATCAAGTGCGCACATTTAAATCCCATCACACACTTCATCTCCATGTAGAGCGTAATAAATTCATCACTGCTATCTATCAATTGTGGGCAAAAGTAAGGCCAAAGTGTCTGCTAACATCAATATTATTTCACTATATCAAGTTCCAGAGACATTGGGTCAGTTTACTATGGCAACGACTTCTTAACAAAGTTTAAATACATCATATACAGAAAGAACCATCACTAACTACTGCAAACTAAACAAAAGGTTCACCAAATATTGGACAGAATACATGTACGCAAAATTGTTTGCTGCAGAGGGAGTTTTTGTTTTCTTCTCTTTTTTAGGGAGGTTGTCATGACATATAGGAACAATCATACAAGGAAAGAAAGGAACTCAAAGATATCAAGTTTCAAAATAGAATAAAACAAGATTCCATTTTTTTTGATAAGTGAATAAAACATGATTCTACTAGGCATTGAAAAGGTATGGTTAATGTTCATGAGATCGACTTGTGCAAATTTTGTGCTTGAGATATGGGAAAAGAAAACATAAAAGTAATGACAGCCGCATCAATTCATTCGATCTGCTTGGTCCACTTACTTGGAGAACTCCAGTCTGCTTTTGGACAAAAATATTTATACAGAACCATCTAATTGCAAAAGCCATTAGACTACGTTGATTTTTTGCCATCCAGCTACGGAAATGAGTCTAAACATATGGCCTTTAAAAATCTCGATGTTATTGACAACTCATAACCTGACAGAAAATGTGTTTAAAAGTTCACAGAGCACAATTGTACTCGATACTTCAGCTATCCTAGTACAGACGTTATCTTTGGTGTCACAGAGTCATTACTCGGCCAAACTTTTACCTAGCCGTCGCACCAATAAATTAAAATTGCACTCAGTCAGCCCACAAATGCCATGAAAGCGGTGGACGAAGGCACAAAGACAATTGAAGGTACTAGGCAGACAAAAATGAAGGCATTAAGCACATAAAAATAAACTAACGCACAGAAGCCAATAATTATGGGTATCTCACGATCTTTATTTCTCTCAAACAAAGGACTTTTGAGCAATGGTGAACTAACAAAACTCTCCGCTTTGTGCATCAGCAGCCAACCCTAAATTGACACCCCCAGCCACTACGGAATGTTGACAATTCAAGTGTTGGCACTTCGTCAAGCCGAAACAGCCCACTAACCATTTCCCTGCAAACTGCTCACCATGTTAACAAGAAACTTCTAAGTGAGTTTTTTTCAAAACCACCATCTAGATGGTCAGTTTTGGGATCATCGTGTGAATATGTTCCTCAACTTTGGGCATCTGACTTGGCACATTAAGTGAGAGTTCATGCTAACTACTTCCCACATGGTTGCCTGTAGTGTGATTTCAGCCATGTCACCAAAGCCCATATCTGAAGGATTGTGCGTTGCCCCATATGTCTGTGCACGTTTGGGCCTTCACCCATGCCATGCTTCTTAAAACCTATCTCAATGCACAATGACATTTGCACTCCAACTTTGGACTCAAACAGAGCCCTCCAACTGAGAAACTTGGTCCTAGTTTTTGCCAACCATATTTTACACGACTCTCATACCAAATTGTCGTATAGTCAATAATGAATCAAACTATTACCAAACGATGTCACTAAGAATTCTTACTCTGTGACCCAAATATCACACGAATGCATTGGACAAAGGTGCAGCTGAAGGCACTGAAGAAAAAGATGACATTAAATGTAGAAAAATAAGTGAAGGAATGCAATATGGAAGATGTGGGTAAAGCTGAAGCAAAACAACTTCTCTCTGCTTTCAACTCAACAGCCTGCCCTATATCTGAAAAAGGGTTGAGGGTGATACCTCAACTGCTAGGGCGTGTTCACCAAGTTAAAAACAGCCTATTGGCCATATAGTTGCCAATGCCTCACCATGTTATCAGAAACCACCTGAGTCAGTTTTACCACAACCCTCAACACGGTTAATTTAAGGGTCAGGGTCATTGTGTACAATTATCCATTGCCTTTGCACACTGAATGAGAGTTCATGCCAGTTGCTTTCCACACAGTCTACCCATGGCAGTGATCAACTGCATTGGACAGGAATCCGTACCTTGAAAGTCTTACACACGAATACCCCATTGTTTGTATATTTCCTCGAGCCTCAGCTTAAACTGAGTTGCATTCATATTCTATGCCTACATTTCTCTTGCAGGCTGAGCAATCCATCCATGCCATGCACTGACATCCAAGAGTACATGAGAACATGATTGTAGTCGGAACAGGCGTCCATGAGCTCAACAACTCGTGTATCATGGTGACCTCAACTAGTTGGTCAATCCTAGGCAAGGAAAAGCTTGAATTGGTCTTATTGTTGGGGAGTTGTGTCTGATCTAGTTCATGTGGAGTCGTATATGGCAAAACAAGTTGTCATGGGCTGAGTTGGGCCCCTTTTTAGATAATTGTGTCTTGACCTAGTTCGTTGTTCTTAATACCGTAATTAAGCGGTTATGATTGTAATTTTGTTGTTACATTGCTTACTATTGTATTTTTTTAACAAAAATTTGATTGACTGTGTAATTGAATTGTGTTACATTAAAGGTAATATTCCATAATTTCTCACATAACTACTCACATCCTCAATTCAAACATGGTTATTGACCGTGTTTTCTATTTGGTACATATTTTTTAAAAATCATTTTTTTTTTCAAAACTCTTTTTTAACTGCACACCCTAATAAAATAATTTTGTACGTGAGCCCATAATTTTTTCTAATTTTTAATCACACATTCTTCAAAAAATAAACTTTTCACACATAAGCCCTACAAATCTCTTGCCCAAACTTGAATTCAACACTAAGAGGTCTACTGATTCCAACTTGTTTAATATTGCATGGAGGTCCTTCAACTTCCAAAAGTGACACATTGGTCACCAACTTTCATAATTCTTCCAATTCTCATCCTTTACGATCTTCCTTTTCGTCTCTTATCGTCCAATACCAAGTTTTCATCTAAAATAATCATTCAACAAGTATAATTAAGCATCAAGCTCATTATAATCACTCTCAAAATCTACTTTTGATTGTCAAGAAGGTGCATTTGGATCCTTGATGGACAGTTACTGTCCATCTTAACATCAACAACTAGAGCTTGGAGGGTTGTCTATATTATTGTTTTAAGCAACCATAATTATTGATGACAGGCCTGCCATTTACTGTCGATCCAAGTGCCTATATATCACTTGGCATCTTTGAGACTCTGATGTTGTGCTCTCTGATTTTTATTTTTTTTTAGAGATCAAACCCACTAGTGTAACAGTGGAAAACTTGAGCAACTATTACAATAAGAAATTAATCCTCTCTTATATCAACAGCCGTTCACTTACTAACTGCGTTGCAGCACTCAATTAGTTAAGTCCTCAGGTAATAATAATAATTACCATTTAACATATACAATGATTCCTTAGTTCCGCATTAATTGTCCAGAAAATATTTTGGAAGCAACCAAGCACAAAAGACAAAACTCTAAGCTTGAGATTACTTCCACAAACTTGTTCATCCTAAGAGGAAAAAATTATTATTCTCCAAGATCGCGTGTAGAGTCAACCGAAAATGCTACTTCAACAATAAATATCAGACATTTTCACCAAACGTAAGAATCTTCAGTAAAAATTATTTTATAGTCAATATAACCCCATTCGAGGAACTTCAGCCAATTCACAGTTCGTGATAATCTATTACACTCTCTTAATTAAATCTTCTACTGTCCCTATCATCTGAAGTTTGTTTATGTTTGGAGTCCGATTTGGACAAAATTTAATGATTGCCGATCTGACAAATTTTAATAATCAGTTGTATAATGTTTCACATTTCCAAA